GTAACCACCCGCGGTCTATTAACCCTTGCTGATTGCCCGTGCACGCACCCGAGGAGTTCCTTGGGCTAGGCCTGACATTTACTGCACTTCTAAAAAAAACGAGGGGAAATGGCCCTACCCACTTTGCCTCACTACCCTGCTTCTGCAACTTCGGCTCCCCCAAAACTTTACGTGTGGCCCCTGCCCTCCCTAAGGTAGCCACACACCCCCCACCCGAGCTAGTCACTGTCCGTGGAACAAAGCTATTCTTTCAACACTACAATTGCCACAATCCAAGGCAGTAACAAAGCACAAATCAGCCTACTGGTTTCAGTGTACTTTTCCCCATTTTGTTTTGATGAATATCCAGGCCGTTAACCGAGACGCATTTACCCTGGCTGGGTAAGTGGCCCGAGGACAGGTTTCCTTACCATGTCTGGGTCGTTCCAGCCACCGGGCCCAGCTATGTCAACAAGACTGTCCTGGTTATTAGAGGTCCAGTCTAAGATATTCTCGATGCTCCTCCAGGAATCAGAGATGTCAGCATAATTCCTCCAGTAATTACAGTATTGCTTAATTTCTGTGTAGTTGACCTGCCAGGAAGGAGAGAAAGGAGAAACATTTATTTCATACTTTTAGCCCTAAAAGTTGAGTTGAAGAGACTCCAGAGTCAGAAAAGGAACAGACTGATTTTGTTTGGTTCAGGATGCAAGTGGGAGAATCTCAGAAATGAATACTACAATTGAACATATTTGAAAAATTATAGGAAACTGCTTTATATTGAATCAGATCCTTGGTTGACCTAGATAAGTATTCTCTACAAGAGGCATACAATCTGGTGACCCTCCATTATTTTACACTACACCTCTCCCACTCCTCTGCTGCCAGCTATACTGGTCAAAGTCAGTAAGAGCTGAAGCTAATTGCAAGGGTGAGAATTAGACCCTGATGGCTTTCCAATTCACAAGACTCTCCTGGCCAATATAAATCATTAGTTTTCCCCAAATTTCAAGGGCATCTCAGTTTTTGATCACCAAAAAATCTGGTTTGGGCTCCAAAGACTAGGAACTATGCCAAGAGTTGGGAACCTGTGGTCCTCCAGGTACCTCCAAACCACAACCCCTAACAACCTCAGCCAACATAACCAATAATTAAGGATGATGGGAGTTGTAGATTCATCATCTGGAAAACGACAGGTTTCCCCATACCTGAAATATGGAAATCTGACTAAACGTAGAATCACCTCAATTACTATCCAGCTCCATTTTATTCCTTGCTTTTTCCCCTATTTTGTTTAGCCAGGTCAGGTACAAAGATGATTTCCCATTCTATGCTAGCCTAAAATCTATATAAATTAATGGGGAATACTATATCCTAGAATGAGATCAAAACAATCCCCTCTTACCTTTTGCAAAAATCTCTGGTAAAGTGGCCATTCGCATGAATATACAATACTTCTGCCAGTTTTATTCAAAGCCCAAGACATTTTCTTATAACCTGGTGGCAGAAAGAAGTGCCCCTACAATTAAAAATATTCCAATGTTTCCAGCATCTGCAACAAAAGTTAGGCCTATGCTCAGCCAAGCTTGACTTCTTTTGACTACAGGTAGTCCTCAGTGACCACAACTGGGACTGGCAACTTGGTCATTAAGCGAAGCGATCACTAAGTGAAACCATGACTCTGCTTATGACCTTACTTCAGCTTTCCTTTGCTTTACAGACCTGCGAAAGTCATCAACATGAGGACTGGTGGCAAAGTTATCTTTTTATCACTGTCGTAACTGCGAACGGTTGCTAAACAAGGCAATTGCTAAATGAGGACTACCTGTATTTAGACACAGAATCATAGGGCTGAAAGGGAACTCGGTGGTCTTCTAGTCCAACCTCCTGTCCAGGGCAGGAATCCTCTCACCATCCCAGACCAACGGCCGTCCAACCTTTGCTTGAAAACCTCCAGTGACGGAGCATCCACAACTCCAAGAGGCAGGCTGTTCCACTGCCTAATAGCTTTCAGAGTCAGGAAATCCCTCCTTATTTCAAGTTTGGGTCTCTCTGCAGAGCTTCCATCCACTGGTTCTTCTCTTACCCTCAGGTGCTGTAGAGAGTAAATCCATACCTTCTGCCCTATGTATTGGAATACTGTGATCATCTCTCCCTTAATTCTTCTCTTCTTTAGGCTACACCTACCAAGTTCCTTCAACCACTCTTTGTAGGATTTAATCTAAGAGCTCCTTACCAACATTGTTGTTCTTCTCTGCACTCTTCCCAGCTCCTCAGGGTCCTACTTATTTGTTTAGTTTTCTTTGGCATTAACAGAGAAATAGTTTGCCATTGGTTTCTTCCAGGATGTTTTCTTGACTTCCCAGGATAACCTAAAACCCTGGGATTTCCTGTGTCTTCCATCTAATTACTAGCCAGCTCTGACCCTCTTTAGCCTTTTGAGATGAATCTGGTTTGGCTAGGGGTTGCCCCTTGTAGCTGAGATGCAACAAGCCAGTGAAAATTCTGGAAACACACCAGATACTTAAGCTCCCTTAATTTTCTGGCACAATGTTTATTTTTCATTATTTTCCAGAACTTGTATACTGTCACGATTGTGCATCTCTAGGCAACTCACAAACCTAAATCGTAAGACCAACTTTTACCACTCATTAAAAACGAGAGAAAATTTAAGAGAGCATACAGCCAGACTGCTGGCAGGAAAGCACAGAAACCAACTGCAAAAGTCTTGCTGGAACTGGCATATTTTTATGGCATATATTTATATGGCTTTCCATCTTTTGACTAAAGTAGAGGCCATGAGTGGCTTGTAATCTATAGTTTACGAGATATTGGTTGTGTGAATCTTCCCACTGTGGCTTGTTCAACAGATCATGGGCAAACCAGCCATGGCTTAGCAAGTTGCATGACTATAACAATTACATCCTTTACTGACTCCCCTTCCTGTGCTGGGCACACACCTTCAGCCATCTGGTCCAGCGTCTCAAAGCCACAACCATCGAACTTCAGCAGATCCACCCCCCAGCTGGCAAAGGTCTCTGCATCCAGTTCGTAGTGGCTGTAGCTGCCGGGAAAGCCCGCGCATGTTCTGTTCCCGACGTCTGCATAAATACCCAGCTTCAGCCCTTTGGAGTGGACCTGAATCACAGATGCCAATAGGAAAAGTAAAAACAAGATCAGAAAACAACAGGCAAGTTGGTATATTTCCTAAGCGTTCCTGAAAAACAATCACGCTCGGGGTAAACTTCCTCGACCTGGCATTCTCCAGATGTGTGGGCCTACAACACCCAGAATTCTCCAGCAAATACAGACAGCAGGAATACAGGGAGTTATACCTCCAAAACATCTGGCCTCAGGTTTGGATAGGCCGCTTTTAAGGGGCCAAACCAGAGAAAGACAGAAACCTACCTATCAAAAAAGATGCTGCTACTTAGCAGAGGGAGCAGGAATTCAGAGCAGATAAACAGATTAGTTTTATCAAAACATACTAGATGGAATGCCCAAGTAAAACCACAGTTGCAATGTACCTCTGAATATCAGGTGCTGAAGCCAGAGAACAAGGAATCAGCTGTTCCCATTATGTCCTGCCTTTGAGATTTGAGAAACAGCCATTAGTTGGAAGTGGAGAGTCAACCCCCCTTGCCCGCTCCCAGATAGATCTTTTCAGTTTGATCCAGCAGAATGACTCTTACGGAATTGTGGGGAGGGTAGGTCAGTGGGGCAAGGTTGTTAATTTATGGCTTGCAGTTAGAAATTAATAAAGAAGGCAAAGTATGAATGTGCTTTGTTTAGGAAACCTCTCCCACCTTTTCTGGAGGGGAATTGGATTAACAGCAGCAGTGGTTTCTATGCATCCACATTCCTGAATTAATTTCCAGCTGCCCCAAGTTGGAAGAAGCTCCCAGGAGAAAGTTCCCAAGCACCCACTCACGTAGTCTGAGAGTTTGCCAATCCCGCTGGGGAAGCGTTTGGGGTCTGGCTGCAACCTGCCCTGTTTATCGCGGGTGGGAGCCATCCAGCAATCATCGATGCACAGGAAATGGTACCCAACGTCCTTCCATCCATCCAACGCCATCCGGTCAGCCATCTGCTTGAAGAGCTCTTCGCTGAGAGAAGAGAAGGAGAGAAAAAGGCCAGGAGTGAAGAGGGAAGCAGAAACTGAAAAAAGGAAGCAGTCACGTCTCGTTCATTCCCTGGATAGCTTAGTGTTGTCTATTCTGAGTAGCAAGAGTCTATCACTTCCTACCCAAGTTAGAAATGCCACAGACAAAACCTCAGATGTTCCACATGCAGCCTCTGTCCCCTCGCTAGGCTGGAGGCCAACACTGGCCTGATTTGCACATGGCAGTTGGTTATACTTGGCTTCCTCCTGCTCGCTGAATAAACCATAACAGGCTGGAGTCACCCAAGTAGGGTTCAGCAATCTGTGCACCACAGGTACCCCTCTTCACCAATTTCGGGTCAAGTACCCCAAGATCCCTCTGCTGAAAGTCAGCAGCAAAACAGCCAAACTTCAGCATCCTGGTTCTAGCCTCCAGTACTTTGGAGATGTTAAGAGCAGGAATGGGAGTCACTAATCTCTGGAAAGTCTCCAGTCCCATCTGCACCATTTGTCCTATTTCCCAAAACTGGGCCAAAATTTTCAGTAGCAATCCCCCCCCCCGCGACACCAGTGAATTGGACCACCAGACAGCCTATGATGTGTGAACCCAGCCACAGTGATACTGAAGCAGCAGTCAGAATCCTTGTTCCTACTGCAGCTTTTTTTAATATTACATACACACTGTATAGCTATGCAGACGTCCTGTTCTTAACCCCTGTTCTCAATGCGATTCAGAGTTCCTTTTTGACAGACTCCAGACCAGGGTTTCTCAACCCTGGCAAGTTTAAGATGGGTGGACATTAACTCCCAGAATTCCCCAGCCAGCATGCTTCATACTCGGCTCTGTTCACACAAACTGAAAGGCTAGGCCCAAACAAGCCCCTTCTATCTTAGCCCAATATGAATTCAATCAGTGCTTTATTCTGGTGTAAATCAACAAAGAGAGGGTTCTATTGTGAATCCACATTTGCTTCACCCCTATTAATGCTGAGCTTTGAAAACCTGTCCTTTTCAGCCAATGGGAAGAGGTTGCATCAAATCAGAACCGTGTGGGCATTGGTCTGTTTTTGGACTTTGGGGCCAATGAAATGGCTATGCTTAGGGTCAGTGAAACTGTTGAAACCGAAACAGGGCCACCAATCAGGCGAGAGCTAAAACGGAGGGAAAACTGAAGAAAAGGGGTCCACTGCAGAAGGAGTGGG